TTTTTCCAGTCTGATGGCCATTCTTGTGTTTTCCATATTTGCTGGCATATGGCATGCATCACCTTGACAGCATCATCTTTTAAGATTTTAAACAGTTCAGCTGGGATCCCGTCGTCTCCTGCTGCCTTGTTGTTAGCAATGCTTCTTAAGGCCCATTCAACCTCACTCCTCAGGATGTCTGGTTCTAATTCATTCACCACACTGTCAAAACTATCCTCAATATTTTCCCTGATCTCTTTAGTTTTATTCTAAATTGAGCAATAAGAAGTTCGTGATCTGAGCTACAGTCAGCCCCAGGTCTTGTTTTCACCGACTGGATGGATGTCCGCCACCTTTGGCTGCAAAGGATGTAGTCAATCTGATTTCGGTGTTGACCATCTGGTGAGGTCCATGTATAAAGCCGTCTTTTAGGTTGTTGGAAGAGAGTATTCGTTATACACAGCGCGTTTTCCTGGCAAAATTCTATCAGCCTGCGTCCCGCTTCATTTTGTTCTCCCAGACCATGCTTGCCTGTGATCCCTGTTGTCATTTGACTTCCCACCTTGGCATTCCAGTCTCCTGTAATGAAAATAATGTCTCTTTTTGGTGTATTATCCAGTAGGTCCTGCAGATCCTCATAGAACTGATCTACTTCTGCTTCTTCAGCAGCTGTGGTTGGGGCGTATATTTGGATCACTGTAATGTTGAAAGGCTTTCCTTGCACTCGAATTGAGATCATTCTGTCCTTTTTTGGGTTGTATCCAAGCACCGCTTTAGCGAATTTCTTATTAATTATGAAGGCTACTCCATTTCTTCGATGTTCCTCTTGTCCGCAGTAGTAGATCTGGTGCCATCTGATGTGAAGTGGCCCATTCCAGTCCATTTCAGTTCGCTGACCCCCAGAATGTCTATCTTTAGTCTTGACATCTCACCAATAACAACATCCAATTTGCCCTGGCTCATAGATCTTACATTCCAGGTTCCTATGGTGTGTTGATCTTTAGAGCATCGGATTCGTCATTCACCTCCAATACCGTACCCAAATGTATAAATCATATATAAACAGGAAGTATGAAAATAGCTAATGTACTAAATCCACCAGAAAATCCCCCATGTATAGTGCTGCAATGAAGTAATGTTTGATTCTGGAATACTTCATCACACTAGAGAAAAAATCCACTTAAAATCCGGTTTCTGCCTCCTGTAGAATTCTGGGATTTGTAGTTTACTGAGGCTGTTAAAGGCTCCTCCCTAAACTACAAACCCCAAAATTCTGCAGGAAGCAAAAACCAGATTTTAAGTGGATTTTTTCTCTAATGTGATGAGGGCATAGTGGGTCACTTTAAACATGTGTACTGAGCCAGCAATGCTGTGTTTATGGCTCCTCCTGGTTCTCCGGTTCATCGAAGTCCTTTCAGAATCCTGAAGAGAACTGTTACCTGGAGCACTTTACCATTTGTGGATTGGTCCCCCACCTTTCTCAGCTTCACTTCTTAGGAAATTTATTTGTCCTGCTAATTTTAATGTAGAGCACAGAATTTATGAAGCCTGAGACATGATACAGATTTTTTTTTTAATGCAAAGCATTCATATTGTTTTCAAAATTTCTCTTAATCTGGTGTAGGATGAATTTTTTTATGAATGTTGCTACTCCTCCCATTGGATAGAAGAGCTGCTTGATATTCCAATATTAGCATGCCATTACGTGGATGGCATGTCAGTATGATGATCTTTAATCATCAGGTTGATTAATGCATTGTACATTGATTGTGGTTTGTGTAACAATGTTTTTACATTTCTGGCGTTTTCAGGCTCAAATGCAAATCCTCACAGTTTTCTCCTCTTCTCTGCAGCATCAGAAAGAAGGAGATAATCAGGAACAGAGAAGCCAAGATTTTGTTGTTGATTCCGACTGATTAAAATTACATCATCACATTTTTTAAAAGACACTGAATAAATTGCTTTCAATTTTTTGTTCAATGCTATGCAAGCATTAAATGACTTTTTTTCTTGCTCAGAAGGGTTTGAGGGGTTTTCCCATGCTGGAGATGATTGAAATGCAGGTATCTAAATTACCTCTTCATATGATTTATTCCCACCCTTAAAGAAGTCACTTATTAATGTAGACACCTTAGAGCTCACATTACACAAGGAATTCTGTAAACTGAGTTAAAAATAAACTCCTAATTTGATTCCAACCAACACCACTTTTCATTTTCCAAATTCCAAACAATCATAACCTTACCTTGGTCTCTTGTTTGCAGTTAATTCCCCAAGGATCAAGGCTGTTGGGTCCAACTTTATTAAAATGTGAAAACATATCTGGAGTCAGGCATAATTCAGGAAAGAGCATTTTTTCCAGTGCTTCAGATGCACCTTAAGATGGTTTGCTTTCCTGGCTGCAGCACTACATTGCTGGCTTGTGTTAACTTGTTGACAGTGAGTTGAACATGAGCCAGCAGCATAATGCTGCCACAAAAAAGAAAAAGAAAGAAACGAAACGAAAAGAAAAGAAAAGAAAAAGAAAAAAGCAAAGGCTATTTTAAGCCTATATTAATAAAAGTGTAGCTTCCAAGTCAAGGGAGGTAGTAGTCTCCCTATATTCTGTGCTGGACAAGCCTCCTCTGCATTCAGTACTGGGAGCCTTGTTTTAAGAAGGATATTGAGAAGTGGGATGGTAAACAATGAGGATGGTAAAGAGGTATGGAAAACAAAACATTTTAAGGACATGTTGAAGGAGCTGGTCATGTTCAGCTTAGTGAAGAGAAGGCTGAAGTGTGGCATGATTGCACTCCTTCAAGAATGGCCACAAAACTGAGGGAGAAGGTTTGTTCACTGCTGTTTCAAATTATACTACTAGATCTTATGGTTTCATGTCAAAGGAGGGTGAATTTGGATTGAGAAGGAGAAAGAGTTGCTTGTTAGTGAGAGTAGTTTGGTAATGGAAGCAGTTGCCTGGAGAAGTGACAGGGTCACCTTATCTGAATCTCTTCATAAAGAGCCTGGATAGCTATCTACTGACCCAATAGTCCACAAGGGTCCAACTAATACTGTGGCTAAAGCCAAGATGCTGTCGCTGCAAAGTATTAGTGTGTGTGTGTGTGTGTGTGTGTGTGTGTGTGTATGGGGTAAAGGTTTCCCTTTGACATTAAGTCCAGTCGTGTCCAACTCTGGGGGGTGGTGTTCATCACCATTTCTAAGCCAAAGAGTTGGCATTGTCTCTAGAGACTTCCAAGGTCATGTGGCCAGCATGACTGAATGGAGCACCATTACCTTCTTGTTGGAGTGGTACTTCACATTTGCATGTTTTCAAACTGCTAGGTTGGCAGAAGCTGGGGCTAAATGCAGGAGCTCACCACACCCCCCAAATTTGAACCACTAACCTTTCGGTCAGCAAGTTCAGCAGCTCAGCAGTTTAACCTGCTGCACTACCGGGAGCTACATACCTATGGCTATGTTCAGTTTTCTAGTGGAAAACTCACAATAAGATTATTGACTGATCAAACCAAATCTTTGTCATGTAACTAGATGTCAAGATTCAATTCTTTTCACACATCATTGACCCAGTATATCCTGAGAGAGACAGGATTTCATTTATTTTATTGTGTAACATAACCATCTGTGTACCTGAGAGCAGAACTTGGAAAGGTTGCTATTTAGGATTGTAACTCTCAATATTCTCCAACTAACCTGGGTAGTAGCTCTGTTGGCTGGAGGGCACTGTAGGCCAATAAAGCGATTTTCTCTACCTCTTGTGGATAAATCTGCCTTGAGTGAAAGTGCTGAGCTGGATGTTCCCATTTTGAGGTCTAGCAAATTTACTGTGGTTGTTACGCATAGCTGCTGTGCCTACATCTCTGCAGTTCCTTTGAGTTCAGTTTACACTAGAGGTCAGCCTTTTCTCATGGTTGTGCACACTCTAAACAAAGCAAATTTATACTTGGAAAATTGAAATACCAGCATATTCTTAAAGGGCACTGTGACAGCATGGCTTATTTCAGGCTTAATATCCAGTGTTTGGAGTCATCTTGAAAAAATAGTTCTATTCTAAATGTTGGACTGTAACTCCTACCTCTCATTAATTACTATGCTGGATGGAGTTTGTAGTTCAGTAGCTTCTGAAGGGACACCTCTTCTAATCCCTAATGAAGACAATTTCTCATTTGATCTATCTGACCCAAAGGAACGGAGTAGTGGGAAAAAGCATCTATCATACGGCTTTAGGAGTCTCCTCTCTACAATAGACTACCCACTTCTAAGTTTAGATCAGAAATAGATGACATATTTATGTTAGAAAATATCCCTTTTCTGAAAGAGAAAGATGTGTCTTTTTTCTTCATTCACACTACACAAAGTACTATTATTCCACTTTAATGGCAGTGGCTCCATCCAATGCAATTCTTAGGTCTGTGAAGCAGTCTAACTAAATATCCCCTTCTAAATGACCAATCCCAGGACTCAATAGGACTTAATCATGGTTGATAAAGTGGAACAACAGTGCTGCAGTGTGGATGGGTGTCTGAGCTAAGGCAACTTCCTATATTGCCTTGTCATCCAGAACTTGGGGTGGGGGGTGGGGAGGGAATCATGTTTTTGGACTATATTTAACCACATAATTATTCTCACCAAAGAGCTTTTGTTCCCATAATATAACTTCTATACCCTGCTATTATTGTAAGATAAGTTTCATAGGAAGAGTGGATCAGTACATTTGTTTACAAATCAGAAAAGGTAAAAACTACTAATTGTCACAATAATTAGAAATGAATAAGGGGCACTATGGATAAAACCTATAAATGTCATTGTGAAGAGAAACTCAGGTTTAATATATAGCCAGTAGTTTTCTTGCACTTTTTAACACAGGAGAGTCATTCCCAAAATATTTGATTGCAGTAAAACAGGAACAAAACTGCCTGTTTCCATCAGACTAAAAACTGAATTGAAATTCCTTGAGAAAAACCGAAATCCTTCCAAGCTATTTTAGTAAAACATGGCAGAAACAAGAGAACTTTAAAAAAAGATGACTGTAAAATGTATATTTATTTTCCAAGAGTAAATTTTCACAATTTTTTTCAAAAAGTCATCATCCCAGTGGTGGTTCAAAACAGCAGCATTTTATTATGTTTGTATATTCAGAGCATATCTGATTATCATTTAACAAGCAGTTGTGAATCTTAGCATTGCGTTTTTTCAGCCCTTTGAAAGATTGAGTAAGGCAGCGTTCTCCCTCCAACACAATAAAAAAAACTTCTACAAAAGAAGAGATGGACACTTAATATTTGCTGGCTCAGTTTCTCAAATCCGACCTGGCCTGTGACATTTCCAAAACATCCTCCTTTTTAAATGGCTGGAAAATGTCTTCATGAGTTAGTGTGGTATAGTGTATAGAGTGGTGGACTATGGCTCTGGAGATCAGGGTTTGAATCCCTGTTTAGCCATGAAAAACTATTGGGTCACGTTGAGCAAGTTGTACTCTCTGTCTCAGAATGGCAATAGCAACCCTCCCTCTAAAGAAATCTAGCTGAAGAAAACTCTGGTGAGTTCTTCTTAGAGTCATCATAAGTTGGAAACGACTTGACGGGACTCGTACACAAATGTCCTTCCTGATGGGCTCTTCCCATTCTTACATTCAGTGCCATTAAAGTGTACCTAAGGGTAAAACTCAACTATTTTCATGTTTCCAAAATCAAGTGGGATGGATGAGTTTTTTGGAAAAGAGCTCCGCTAGAAACATTGAACAACTACAGTTTTAGTGTTACGGGTTAAGCATCCCTTATCTTGAATGCCAAAATCCAAAATACTCTATACTTTTCCACATAGGTGGCTGCGATAGTGGCACATTTTCTGTTTAATGGATCAGCGTACACTAACTTTCTGTCATATGCAAAATCAGTCTTAAAGGTATATATAAAATTACCTTCAGGTTTGTGCATATAATGTATACTAAACAGAAATGAGCTTCATATTTAGACTTTGGCTCCCTCTCCAAAATATCTCATTATATATGTATATCCAAGCACATACTGATATTCCCAATGCTAAAAAAAGAAAAGAAATCAGAATGTCTTCTGGTCCCAAGCATTTTGGATAAGGGATACGCAACCTGTCCTTGCAAATAGGATCTGTTAGGTTGGTGCATACTATTGAGAAAGAGTGTTGACAGACTGAAATTTCATTTACAGGGTGAAAAACTGGTTTCCTAATAGTCACAGATATCCCTTTGAGGAAAAATAATAGAAACTTTTGTACAATTTTCTCCCAGTATTAAAATATTCCAAAATATTAGATAGTATTAATGTGCAGAGGAAATCATGGAATATTTTGCACTTTTTTCTGGGCAGAAAACATAGTTCCCAAAATATAAAACGGCTTTTTCATGCAAAAAAATCCATGTGTTTTTCTCTGCTCAATAATTCCTATCCAACACTTTGGGCAACTGAATACATAGAGAACACTTTGGAGAAAGCTACAGCAATTATTTACTTTTGTAAATCAAGTCTAATTAGTCAAATGATTTACATGTCTACATTTTATATTATGACTGGGTAAAACATCTTATACTGAAATGCCGATTCTCATATTCAGATATTTTGCATAAAATTTGATTGAATTTAGAGTTGCTGCAAAACCCTTTCTTGCAAAATGCATGTATCTACTGGCACTGGGTATTAAAAGATCCCTAGCTTTTCATCCATGAAGGAAAATGCTTATGTGTTGAATTAATCCACCATTATTGAACCTTTCGTCATTGTTTTTACTAAAAGGGAAAGCAACCTGACTCCCTTTCTATATTTGGAGACTATAGTTTTATTATCCCAAACTCCTAGGTGGTTATGAGAGCTGTAGACTAAAACTTTGCAGAGGACAAAGCATTCACTAAAGTCAGGGGTCATATCTCAAGTAGCTTATGTATTGTGGCAAACTATACATGGATCACATGGAAGCCCTCCTCCAATAAAATGTAATAGGCAAACCTTTCCCACATGGGTTTTGTTTTGCTGGGGAACAGGAGCTATTCCTAAAAGAATGCATTCAAATTGTGTTGTTAAGCCTTTTCATGTTCAAACTACCAATCTAGATAGCCATACTAGAAAGTAAGTCCCACTGAAATTGGAAGGATTCCCCTTTGCTTGGGATGGTATTTCTAGGTCTTGTCAATTGTGTGATCTCTTGAACCATAATAATGCTTATTTTTACATTGGCACCTGTCATATGCTCTTATAGTATTTTCTAACATAACATGAACATCTGTTCTAAAGCTGCACAAATGCAAATGCAGACTGAGGACCTCATGTAGACCACCAGGTTTTGAGCCAGGGAATTGTCTAGGTAACTGAATAAGTAAAATATTGTATATGAGAGCTTTTGTGAAGGACTGTCTCACACCATCAAGATAGTGTTCCAATTCTGGAATGTATGGCTTGACACATATATTGAGAAATCATTTGCAGCTGATATACCCATTTAGACTTCAAATGGGTGGGAATCAAAGTTTAAAATGGGTGGGCTTTCTCCAAGCAGCCAGGCCTTGTTGAGCTGTGGCACCCAGCATTCTTTGTCATAGAATATGGCTGCTGGGAGTTGCAATGATAAAAATCTGGAGGACAGTCCCAGTTTAACAGGTGGTACCTCCAAATGGATTTTTAGTTTATTTTACTGGGTAGCATGTGAGGCCTTCTGATACTGAATGGCAAGTCCCAACCTTCCTCACCGCTGTGCTGGCTAGGGCTGTTGGGAAGTGTCATTACCGAAACCTGGAAAGCCTCACAATCTTCGCCCTGGTTTAGATGGTGCCATTTCAACTCAGATGCCACAGCAGAAACTTAACTCATATTGCACCTTACATTTTAAACTTCCTCTGTTTTGCTAGAATTGGTGAGAAAATTTTCTCATCACACCAGAGAATAAATCTATTTAAAATCCGGTTTCTGCTGCCCGCAGAATTCTGGGGTTTGTGGTTTAGTGAGGCTGTAAAAGGCTCCTCTCTAAACTACAAACCCCAGAATTCTGCAGGAGGCAGCAATCGAATTTAAAGTGGATTCATTATCTAATGTGATGAAGCTCTAAAGGACACCAGTGACTTCTTTTGCCCACAACCTATAAAACCGGGACTGGAAGGAGACTAAAAAGAAGTTTGTGTCACCTTGCATATATAATAAAATGCAGAGATGATGTTGCATATCTGAACAACAAATAATGTTGTGGTGCAACCTGCAGTTTGCTGCTACTTTTCATAGTAGTATTCAAAGCACGCCCCTGCCTTCTTATTTCAAGCGACAAGAGTGGCCAATGGCTTCACCATTTTGGGGAGTGGGGTCTCCATTTTCAGCTGCTCAGAGTTGCATAAGCATTATGCCAGTGACAAACGTTTGAAGGCAAAAGCAGGGAACCAGCAAAGCAAAGAGGAGGTGCATTTCTTCTGCCTGAGGGATAACTTTGAAGCATTCTGACTATGTCAAGGAGAACAGAACAGTGGCTTTGTTTTGGGTGAATGAAATGATAACAGCCCTCATCGTATTAATAGTGGTATTTATCAAAATATTAAAAATAACTGCATTGTTATGAAGTAATCAGCAAGGAGTTAAACAGGGAATAGAAGGACAGGTCAGCATAATCCAACTGAGTCTAAGCTTGTACTAAGACTGTGTATGATGGTCTGGTCAACTCAGTCTTTTTCTGTTTTTTCTCTTTTTTAGAAAAAAAAGGGGGAGGAGCAGGAGGGATTTTGTACACTACAATGTAATTATTCAATTCTACTTATTGTGCTTTTTTATAGTTCAGGGCGCCATTAGCTGCCATCAGGTAGTCTTTATGGAATCCATTCTTGACTTCCGTCACCAGAGGGACCTCTTTCGTGTCGGTTCTTGAAGGTCTTTTCCGATATGTCTATGGAGGGAGAAGGATAGAAAATAAAAGATGGATGAACCTTAAGTACAATTTGAATATCTTACTTGCACCCAAAGTTTGCACAGAGCAATATCACATATAGCCTAACTATTTCCTTATAATGTGCTACATACGCATTCTTTGGGAGTTCCACATTCTGTGCAGAATTAGATGCTGGAAGTGATTTTTGTTTTCAGTATAGATTTTTTTCTTATCATGTCAGAAGAGACTTGAGAACATACTGCAAGTTACTTTGAGTGTGAGAGAATTGGCTGTCTATAGAGATGTTGCCTAGAGGACAGCAGGATGTGTTAATATCCTGCTGGGAGGCTTCTCTCATGTTGCAAGCTAGAGCTGACAGACGGGAGCTCACCCCATCTTGCGGATTCGAACCAGCAGTCCTCAGGTCAGCAACCTGACCTTCAGGTCAGCAGGCCAGCCAACACAAGGGTTTAACCCATTGGGCCACCACGGCTCCATTAGTATAGATCTGGAGCTACGACAGATACCTGAACACTTAGGCATCCTCCCAATGTCATGATTGGAATTCCACACAGCAAAAGAGAAGCTTTCTGGAATAATTTATAGTGGAGAAGCAGCAAGTATTTGGAAGAGGATGCAAGTAGCCCCTTCTCATCCTGCATTTTTTTATATAAAAGAGAGGGAAAGAGATAGGGCATTAAATGTGACACAGCTTTTAAGAGCAAAGCTGGCTTAGCTAAGCATTTCTACACAATTAGGGAAGTTTCCTTTAGAAACTGCACATGCAGCTGTTTCAAACTGAAGTGTTGTTTCAGATACAGTCACCTTTAGCTTATTCCCAATGTTGTTATGAGACAAAATACTCTTCTCTTTAAATCTTGTTGGACTTCCATTTTCAGCATTCATGATAATTGGTTGTGCTATCTAAAGCTGTTAGGATTACCAGTCCAGCAACATATTGAGATCTTTCCTTTCCCCATGCCTCAATTAGACAACCAAAGTCAGTGGGACAATTTAATTATGACTAACGGAGGATCTACACCAGTGGTTCCCAACCTGTGGTCTGTGGACCATCAGTGGTTCGCAAGAACTAAACTATTGTCTGCAGCCTCACCATTACTATACCATTGCAACGAGAGCGACTGGTCTCACAAAAACCTCTTATAGTGCCAAGACTTATTAAATATGGTTTTCTGTGGGAGAGCAGATGGCGACTACTGGATGGCTTATGTTCTGTATTGGAAACTAAAGCTGATGTGGTCTATCCAATGCAATTTTCTGAATCAGCACCCCAAATAACCAAACTGAATCTAAAGTTGACCAAAAACTGATGCGTAACCCTTTTGGTTCTAATGTTGGAGAGTGGTCCCTGGTCAAAGTAGTTCCTGGTCAAGCGGTCCCTGCTCAAAAAATGGTTGGGAACCACTGATCTACATTGTCTCAATGCTATGGAAGAATGGGAGCTGTAGTTGTAGAACAGTGATTCTCAACCTGTGGGTCCCCTGGTGTTTTGGCCTACAACTCCCAGAAATCCCAGCCAGTTTACCAGTTGTTCGGATTTCTGGGAGTTGAAGGCCAAAACATCTGGGGACCCACAAGTTGAGAACCACTGTTCTAGAAGCATTCTCTCCTGACGTTTCGCCTTTAGCCTCCTTGCCAGGCATGTAGTGGGGGGGGGGGGGGGGGCTCGGGGGGCTTCAGCCCCCCCTGAAATTTTCATGGTGGTTCGCGAAAAGGCCTTATTGGTGCATTATTTAAACTGTTATGTTTATTCATATCATGATCTGATCACCATACTCAATATATCCCATATGCATGGGGGTATTGGGGTAATGATACAAAAGGTTTGCTAGGCTAGACCCTCTTTCACTCAGACTCAGCCGCCCCCCCGAAAACCCCCCCCCTAAAAAAAATTCCGCCCCCCCCCCCCCCCCGAAACGAAATCCTGGCTACGGGCCTGGCTGCTGCATTACCGAATTACAACTCATACAATTCCATAGTATTGAACCTTGGCTGGTACTGTTGTATAAAACTGCATCTATTCTACACCGTAGATATACAGTTTGTCCCACTAGTTTCACGTGGTCTAATCATAACTAGGTCTGGACCCCAGATGGGATACCATAAAATTTTAGATATCTGAGTAAGTTAAAAGAAAAAAAGATGGCTATATTAATGAATGACACAAAGAATGTATTTTGAATAATCTACATCAACTAAATACTTGAAGTGGCATGGAAGATTTTTTATAAACAAAGAAATGTTGAGTTAAAGCCTTATCACTCACAGTTAATGGATTATTTGAAGAGTTGTTTTAATGGCCAGGGTCAGATGTTTATTTGTTTTAAGATAGTAAATCTACCATTCATTCTCACAAGTGTACTTAAAGTTCTGCTTATCAGTTGATAGTCAATTAACATTTAAGGAATGTAAGCATTATAAACATTATATATCTATAGAAGCGGGCATTCTACTGATAAAGTAGCCCTATGGAGAAAAATCAAATATACATATTATAATGAGAATTGCAGCTTTAAGAGACAGGGTCTGAATCTTAATTTTTCCCCCTCTTCCCTCCTCCTCCCCTTTTCCTCATGTGTCATGTTTCTAGGTTATTAGGCATGAAGGCAGGGGCGGTCTTTTTGGTAATATTTACAGGCTACCCCGGTGGTGCGTCAGGTTAAACCACTGAACTGCTGAACTTGCTGACTGAAAGGTTGGCGGTTCAAATCCAGGAAGTGGGGTGAGCTCCCAATGTTAGCCCCAGCTTCTGCCAACCTAGCAGTTCAAAAACATGTAAATGTGAGTAGATCAATAGGTATTGCTCCGGCAGGAAGGTAACGACGCTCCATGTAGTCATGCTGGCTGCATGACCTTGGAGGTGTCTACTGACAACGCCGGCTCTTCGGCTTAGAAATGGAGATAAGCACCAACCCCCAGAGTCGGACACGACTAGACTTAATGTCAAGGGGAAACTTTTATATTTACTACAGGCTACTCTGCCAGCCTTTTTGGTTCAAAAGGTGAATAAAAATGATTTCCATGCATGTTTAGAACTCCCTAATTTGAAAATACATGTGACATTTTATGTTTAATTTTATGTCTTAGGAATGCTATTTTTTTTTACTGTATCATAATAGATGTTGTACGGCCAGGATGCTGCAGCGGTTTGAGCATTGGACTGTTCTAGAGGTCAAGGTCCAAATCTCTGCTTGGCCATGGACACTCACTATGTAACCTTGGGCAACTTGCACTATTTCAGCCTTCGAGGAAGCTAAAGGCAAACCCACTTTGAACAAATTTTGCTCTCCAAAATCATGACAGATTTGCCTGGAGTTGTCCAAAGTCAGAAATGATTTGAAGACACACAATCACAACAAGGATAGCTGGCACAACATTGCGAACATAGTTCAGTGTTCAATTTGCAAGAGGAGAAACTGTAAGCCATTACATCACAACTGAACTTTGTTATAGTAACCTGTCTTACATGTTCCCCGTTATCTTTAGTCCAAGGCTGAGCTGCTTCTATTATAAGGATACCGTGTTCTCCTAAAATGCAAACTGTATTGTTTGTTATCTAGGGAGAGAGGCCGTTCTTCCCAAGGGTAGAACAAGCCGTGCTGTGGTAAGAGCAGCATTGATGTCAGTCCTGTTATGCAAAACCAGCTCTGGAATGCCTTTATCCCATAATAGCCTTTCCCAAACTGGCCCCTTCAAATGTATTAAGTGATTGTGCAGAAAACTGTTGTGGAAAAGTCTTTCTAAGAATTTCTGGTTGAAACAAAAGTAGTAGGAACATTGCAGCTCTGTCTGCGCTCCAAGAGCTAAAGCACAGATAAATCTCATGCTAGATTAAATGTATTAGCCTTGTTCCAGCACAAAAGGTTTTCCCAGGGCCCTTCCACACAGCCCTATATCCAAGAATATCAAGGCAGAAAATCCACAATATCTGCTTTGAACGGGGTTATCTGAGTCCACACTGGCACATAACCCAGTTCAAAGCAGAAAATGTGGGATTTTATTCAGCTGTGTGGAAGGGGCCCCAGAGCCACAATTCATCTGCAAAGGAATGCACAGCCAGGTTTGGCTTAAGTGCCTGATGGATCTATCTGCAATGGGATGCTCAGCCAGATGTGGCTTAAATGGCCGCTTTTGATGTGGATGACCATATATTCCCATCTGGTAACATTAATCACTTGCCATTAGTAGTACAAACAATTAGTATTGGACTATAGGTGCTGAAGTATGTGTGTGTGTGTGTGTGTGTATTTCATACATGTTGGGTAAAATCTAGTAACTGAAAAGCATATGGAGGTATCTTATTTATCCAATTTTCTAAATTTTTTGCCATTCTGTAAACTACTACTGTCATGAAATTTGATTTTGTTACTGTAGTTGCTTTCTGAGCATTTCTGAGAAGCTTCTAAGAAAGACTCTTGACATTGCAAAACTGGACGCACCATAGGAAACATGATCTCACTGAAGGGAAGTGTTCATAGCTACTGATGGCACAACTATAAATCCTTAATTCTACATCAGTACACCTTACTGTCAATGTTAGAAGCAAGGTATTTGGTATTCCTTATATCGTCACAGGGGTAATATGCAGAAAATCAACATGGTTCCATTAAAAGAGGGAATTACTAAAGGTAAAGGTTTCCCCTCGACATTAAGTCTAGTTTTGTCCAGGGGTGGTGCTCATCTGTATTTCTAAGCTGAAGAGTTGGCATTGTCCGTAGATGCCTTCTAGGTCATGTGGCTGGCCTGACTGCATGGAATACCATTACTTTCCCATTGAAGCGGTACCTATTGATCTACTCACTTTTACATGTTTTCGAACTGCTAGGGTGGCACAAGCTGGGGCTATCAATGGGAGCTCACCCTGTCCTGCAGATTTGAACTGCCAACCTTCCAATTAGCAAGTTCTGCAGCTTAGTGGTTTAACCCTCTGTACCACTGTGGCCCCTTAAAAGATGGAATAGTGTGTTTCAAAACAAACCATTCACTAGCAGTGGTGTTAAAGGGCAGCATAAAATGTATTTATGACAATAGTAACAATGCATATGATCATTCTTGCTCAACTTACCTTAACATAAAAGTTAACAAATAGAATGACCAGTGTGGTCATGTATGAGGACTGGAACATGAGGCAACCAAATGGAAAGCCACATGGTTTCACAGCTGCACTGAGTGTGTGGGTAATAGTGAGCACAAACTGAATCTGTGGAAGAAAGAAACACCCAGAATTAATATTAACCTTCTTACCCATAATGTGCCCCAGTCACCGGGACACATAATGTGAAAGATATAGTCCATAACATGAAGAAAAACCAAAGGCCCTCTAGATATATATATATTGAATGTTTTAAAAGTTAAAGTCATAACTCAGAACCATTACTTCACTGTGGACTAGTCATAACTGTTGACCTTCTGATGGCCATACTGGAACAAAAAAGTTACTCCAGAGTCTGGTGTTTATTTATTATCTAATTGCAGTATAATATCTGCACACTTGTTGGGGAGCTCGAAATTGCTAAGACTCCTTGAACCCCATCCTTGGAAGAAATGTGCCATATAAATCAATCAAACTGATGAATACATCTATATAAATAAAAATGTAATGTTCGTTTGTGAGATTACCATAACTCAAAAACCACTGGACAAATTGGCACCAAATTTGGACACAATACACCTATCAGGCCAATGAGTGATCATCACTCATAAAAGGATGGAAAAACACAACAGACAGGACTTAAACGGACAAAAAAACAAAAAGATGCTACAGCGTATGCGCAAAAAAACTCCCCCTGGCAAACAAAACACACAATAGCATATCCACAATCTCTTTTGGACTACAGCTCCCAGCATCCCCTAGACCAGGCCCTTTAGGAGAGAAGGACGATCCAAGTGCACTGCTTCCAAGCTGCAAGCTTTCTTCTCCTTGGATTTCTTTGAGAGCATCCCAATCCCTGCATATTTCCAATTTCCTATTCCTGGACTGCAACTCCCAGCAATCCTCCAGATAGATACGATAGATGGATAGATTAGATAGAGATAGATAGATAGGTATATTGATAGATTGATCAGGAGGATTGCTGGGAGTTGCAGTCCAAGAATAGGTAGAGAAGCAAGAAAGAAGAGAAAGAAAAGAGGGGAGGAAGGGAAGAGGAAGAGAAGGAAGGAGAGCATGAAAAAAAAGGGGGAAGGAAGGAGGGAGAGAAAGAAAGGGGGAGAGAAAGAGAGAGGGAAGGTTGGCCACAGCAACGTGTGGCGGGTACAGCTAGTACATAATAAAATGGTTTGTCACTGAACTTTATGCAAAATGGCACATGGAAAGGAGCCACAGCCACCTCCCTCTCCCTGACAGGTGTTTAGTATGTTGAAAAGGAGCTGTGAATGACAGATCAAATCTCCACATTTTGCCTCATAGCAATTGTTTGGAAAGCAATTGCATATACCTAGATTTTGGGTAGATTCATCTACCACAATAATATAGACAGTGACACTAATTTGTGGCAGCAATCTTTGATTTCAGTTAAGGATATTTTGCCCATCTGCCTAGAAATGCCAGGGATTTAAGCAAAGCAGGTGCTGTATTATTTAAATTAGCGTAACATTCTCAAACAAGCAGTGAGTCACATATCTAAGTTTGCAACCCCCTGCTTCTTCACTTATAGTTTCTACTTTCTTTTCTTAAAGTGACAATATGTAATAGTGCAACTATGTAATGAGATGGCATATTCCCCCATGCCAGCATCACTCTTTGGCCGATGTATTTTTTAAAATTTTGTACTACATCTCATAAGAATCCATTAGCCAGCATACATAAAGCTTCTAAACCAACAAAGGACATGATAAGGAATTATAAAAATTGGAATACATGCCCAACCCTGCTATAGAAGAATACCCAAGATTAAAAAGCATAAAACATGTGAAAAGTTCTGATAGAAAAGAGAGGTTAAATATTTTTCATTTCAATGTATTTCCCACTCAAAGCTCAAGCTTGGCTCACTGCTTATGATCCTGAAGAGTGCAAGAGTAATCTATTTTGTCAGTCTCATACAGCAAAACAATAAATAGTCTTGCTATGTCTTTAAAACCTAACATGATTTATTTGGCCTAAGCTATACATTATTGGGCCTATCTCCTTCCATGATGAATTTGGGCAGGAGTGCATGAAATCCTATGCCAAATAAAAGTCTTCACCTGTTACTCTTGTAAGATTCTTCAAGCATATTCACATCCTACTATTACAGCAGTAGGGTTTAACTTGAATAGCCATGGCGCCTTCCTTTGGAGCCCTGGGATTTGTAGTTTGGTGAGGTGCACTCTAGTGCTCTAGTTCAAAGGAATGGCCAAGGTAATGCTACAAACACTTTAGGATGGAGTCAAAACATTTAAAGTGACATCGAAGTGCTATGATTCTGCAGTGAAGAATCCTCCTCTGTGGATTTTTTAAAATCACTGAAGATATTCATTGTGTTAACTGTGGTTAGTAAAAAGGAACATGAATGTAAGTATACCAGTTGTGCCTGAGTAAGATACTTCTTCCACCAAAGATACTTCCTCATGGATGGAATGACGGACAGTCCGTAGTAGGAATACATGAGGACATGGATAAAACTATTCAAGGTAGGTCCAAAGAAACCTGTGAAGATTGAATTAAACAATACATCACATGTATATGACAAGCAATTTCATGTCTATTATCTTATAGAACGTTCCAATTTAAAATGAGAGGCCCTAGCATTTGGTAGCATTTCTCTTAAAAGTCAAAAGCATGAGACTTTGTAACATGAATGGACAAACTGTGGCTCACCAAATGTAGTTGAGCTGTAACTCCAAACATCCTTCACTATTCTACATGTTGGCTAGGACTGATGGGGACTTACCCTGGCTTTTCTTTCTACTTACACCAATTTTTCCAAACCCTGTATCCTTCAGATGATCTAGAGCAGTGGTTCTCAATCTTTCTAACGCCATGACCCCTTAATACAGTTCCTCATGTTGTGGTGACCCCTGATCATACAATTATTTTCATTGCTACTTTAGTAATTTTGCTACTGTTATGAATCGTAATGTAAATATCTGATATGCAGGATGTATTTTCATTCACTGGACCAAACTGGGCACGCATACCTCATATGTCCAAATGTGAGTACTAATGAGGTTGGGGAGGGAATTGATTTTGTCACTTGGTAGTTGCATTTGCTGGGATTTATACTTCATGTACAATCAAAGAGCATTCTGAACCCCACCAACAATGGAATTGAACCAGGCTTGGTACACAGAACTCCCCTGACCAACAGGAAATACTGGAAGGGTTTGGTGGGCATTGACCTTGTGTTTTGGAGTTGTAGTTCATCTACATCCAGAAAGCACTGTGTATTCAAACAATGATGGATTGAACCAAACTTGGCATGGACACTCAATATACCCAAACGTGAACACTGGTGGAATTTGGGGAAAATACTGTGTTTTCTGATGGTCTTTGGCAATCCCTCTGATACCCCCCATCATGACCCCCAGATTGAGAAATGCTGATCTAGACTATAACTCTTATCACTCCAGCTAGTGTGAAATACTTTCAGCCTTTAAGACAACAACAATTATAGGAACTGTGCAACTATCACTATGCAAAGCTAACAATAAAGATGCTAGGTTGCAAGAGAGATTTGAATCATGTCTCCCCAGATTTGCATCAAAGAGCTCTAAGCTGTTCCATACACTTTTACCCATCAAGTTAGAGTAATATCAAAGTGAACCATTGGATGGTTTCCTGCCTATTTTACCCGTGTTTTCCTTAATGTTTTTACTAAATATGTGGAGTATCCTTTCCTGTTTGACTTCACAGTGGTGTAATCTGCAGTCAGATCTATCTTGGAGAATGTTGTTTTGATACATCTTATTAACTTCACACCTGCACATACTCACTTTGTCCGCAAGGTATCCAGTTCATAACACACCACCAAATGTTAAACATAGTGGCATGATGATAAACATGAAGGAAAGTAATTTGGCTGTTTTTCTTCCGCAACACAAAGAACATGGTGTCAGCAAATTCAATGACTTTGGAAAAGTAATACCACCACAACACCTTGGCCACCTGCAAGAACAAGACAGTCACGTTAATATTTCTTCTTGAAGTAACGTGTGCTTATCCTAAAAGAATCTGTTAGTCAGCAAAGACTCACATTTACAATTAAAATAAACAAGATTATCATAGGTTGCAGTTCTATATGGTGTAGAATTCTATAAAGCATAGAGCCAGCATGGTGTAGTGGTTTGAACATTGAACTATGACTCTGGAGACAAGGGTTTGATTCCCCATTGAGCTATCAAAACCCACTGGGTGACTTTGCACATGTCACACACTCTCAACCCCAGAAAACTCTATAATAGGGTCACCATAAGTCTGAAATAATTTGAAGGCCAACAACAACCACATCACCCTGGAAGCCTGTGTTAAACTGCAGTTTAAGAAGGATAAGATGGAATGTGTCTTAAGAAGGGTGACAAAAATATTAGAGTTCGAGAAGCCAAGCCTTCCAAGGAGCAGCTTAGGGAATGAGGTATGTTTACTTTGGCAAAAAAAGGTTTTGAGGGGACATGATAGCCATATTTAAATATTTGAAAGGATGTCACATTATAGAGGGAGCACATCTGTTTTCTACTGCTCTAGAGACTAGGACATGAAGCAGTGGATTCACATTACAGGAAAAGAGATCCTACCTAAACATTAGGAAGAACTTCCTGACAATAAAAGCTGTTCAACAGCAAATATGCTGCCTCAGAGTGGCCATCTCTCCCCCTCTAGAGGTTTTTAAACACTGCCTGGATGGTCGTCTGTTGGGACTACTTTTTTTGTATGTTCCTGAATGGCAGGGGATTGGACTGGATGGACTGTGTGATCTCTTCCAGTTCTATGATTCTATGATCAACATGAAATATATATACAGACAGTCCCCACGTTACGATCAAGATATGTTCTGTAGGTTTCTTCTTAACTTGAATTTGTATGTAAGTTGGAAGAGGTATATTTTAAAGTGTAACTCTATACACACACACACACACACTGTGATGGCACGCCCGAGCCTTTGGGAAAATTATACTGTCTGACTTGGGGACTATCTCATACCTGCTGTTAAGATTAAGACCCTTAGCAGACAGAGGCACTTTGAGGCAAGATGAAAAGATAACCAAATGAGTTTACTGAAACAAAATGAATAAAGGGTTTGCTTCACCTGAGACTGTCATAAGGTAACTTAAACAATACATTACAAATGGAGATTTTGCTGGTTGTAGTCATCTTTCTGCAATCTTTGAAAGTCTTTTGCCTCTGGTGCAAAGCAATGGTTTATAAGTTTGTTGCTTGCAAACTATCTTAATCTTCTCTCCTGTGAAGCTTAGGTTGGCCAAAAGCTTCTGTTGCCCTTTGGACTGTTGGTATAAAAATACTGCTAAATACAGGAGCTAAGAATGCCTGTTTGAATTGCTTGTGCCTAAGATTACTAGACTATCACAAGCCTAACTCACAGTAGCTCTGCTGTAGAAAAAAGGAGGAGTCCAGAACAGGAGCTCTGTATAGGAAATGGAATAGACCAACTAAGATTGGCCTCTGGGGGGATTTTAAGCTCCACCCAAAAACTAATCCAAAGGAAATTATCTACACTATTGGGAAGGCCTATAAACAGAGGAAACTAAAGCAGACAGGAGGAAAAGGTAGAGCCAAGATTTCTCTCTCTCTCTCTCTCTCTCTCTCACACACACACACACACACACACACACAAGCATTGGATGGCTTGGGAATGGTTAAAATCCCTGTGTTTATTTTGCTGTTCATGCTCCTGTTCTAAAGATTTCACCTAGATTTCTGTTCCAGTAATGACTGGATTTTGGAAAATTTGGCTTGTTGTGGAAACAAGGATTGATGATAAAGCTTCATGGAGACACCTTTCCCCCATGATAACTCTTTCAAGAGTGAATTTCCCTTTCTATGGGTAGATTCTTCAGTAGGATCGAGATTGTGCTGTCAGGAAACCAGAGTTAAGAGCTTCCTAGCAGTATGCACACTTACATTCTTCTGTTGTGTCACGGGGCTGACTGCCATAGAGGTATACAATGACCTTTAGCTCAAGTTCCTAGAATTAGTCCTGCATCCTGATGCTAAACACATGTCCTTGGATTTCAGTGGGATGTGATGCTGACCTAATGTTGATAATGTCCCCATTTTGCAAAGTAAGCCTACTGAATACACAATGCAAAGTTTCCAAGCAGCTGTTTACAAGTGGTCTTTCCTCTGCATCCAGCAGCACTTGTGCCTCACTCTTTGCTGTCATGATCTAGCAAAATGACATACATCACACTGGGCAGAGCTGCTACATCTGTGAGCAGCTCTGCATGCACACTTCTGCGTTTTCCCATCATAACATCTGTCAAGCCTCAGGAGAACCTCTCACTGCTGTCTCTTACTGGTGGGGCAGAGAGGGAGAAGGGAGGTAATGGAGATCATGGAGAGGCAGATGGTCCCAGCTGAGCTGCTGGGAAGAAATGAAAGTGTACTCTCCAATGGAATGCACTTCCCCTTCCCTTTCTCCCGGGAGCTCAGAGCAGCTGGATCTTTGTGTCCTCAATTGCCCCCCTCATCTTTCCCCTCTCCACCAGTAGGCGAGTCCATCATGGACTTGACAGCTGCCAGAGGATGGGAGGTTTTTGGATGGGTTGCAGGAGTATGAGAATATCCCTCCTCTACCTCCCTCCAAAAAGGGACTCACCCATGTGCATTTCAGCATATAATTCACTAGCAGAATGGTAAATGTTAACAACAAAATGCTCTCTATTTACCAAAGAAAGAAGTGTTTTCTACCAATGACCACTCCCAGGACAGAGAAAGTTGTGTATTGCTTGTGCTACTCTCACAAATTCTATTGAAATAAGTTAATTTACTTGTTAGAAAAGCGTTGTATTATATATTAAAAATGTTATTTCTATAGCATAATTTAGTCTTAATTATAATTATTTCTATAGCATAATATTATGGGTTTACAAAAGGGAGACACATCTGTGCTAAGCTGGGGGCAGGGCCAAACAATGGGACTTGTGGAAAATCATCACAGTTGATTTGTATGTCTCAAGCAGGAATGCGGGAAATAAAATATATGTAAGAAAACAAAGACAAGAAGGCAGCAGGCAGTGAGACATATGTATGCAATCGCGTGTATGTGTCTGGCATTTGTTGTACTACTTCACAGCTAAGGACAAGGCTATTTTTTTCGTGTCACGAGCGACTTGAGAAACTGCAAGTCGCTTCTGGTGTGAGAGGATTGGCCATGGGAAAAGGTATTGCCCACGGGATGTTTGATGTTTTACCATCCTTGTGGGAGGTGCCTCTGTCATGTCCCCCGCATAGGGAGCTGGAGAGGGAGCTCAACCCGCTCTCCCCAGATTCAAACCGCTGACTTGTCAATCAGCAGTCCTGCTGGCACAAGGGTTTAACCCATTGTGCCACCGGGGGCTCCAAGACCAGGCTATAAATGAATCACAATAGTCTAAATGGAACTTGGAGGTTCTATATGTTGTACACCGCCGTGAGTCGCCCTAGGGCTGAGAACGGTGGTCTACAAATACAGTAAATAAATAAATAAATAATAAATAATAAAATAAGACAAACTTCCTCTGAATCAAAACAGAGAAATTTACTGGGTTGTTGTAGGTTTTTCTGGGCTATATGGCCATGTTCTGTAGGCAATTTTTCTCCTGACGTTTCGCCTGCATCTATGGCAAGCATCCTCAGAGGTAGAGAAATTTTTGAATTTTAATATCTGGGATTCTAGTTGTGTTTCAAAAGAATAACTTTTCCTAGTAGTACTCTGAACAGTAGTTGCAAAGGGAGTTAATAGGAATCAACGCTTCTTATTATGACAAGTTATGAACCACACCAATATGGAACAAACATGTTTGAAAATCAATTATAGGCCAGAGAAACTCACATCTTTGTGAAGTTAAAAACAAAAAGTGTGGGGCAGAGAAAAGCTCCAACGCAAAGAAGCGCAAGCCGACAATACTGGAAAGTTTATATATTTTTTCTATTAAGTTGGAATAAGGGTGGAACTGCAGTATTCCAGATGTTTGGACTAGAGCTCTCTCGGTCCCTTGGCATTAGCTCTGCTGGCTGGAGCTTCTATGGACTGAATTCCAAAACTTTGGAAGGGCCAAGCATTCCACAACCTTGAGTGCAGTGATGGAAATTAAACCAGCAGATTATGGAAAAAAACAAACAAGCAAACAACACAAAGGAAATATATTTGAAAGTTTGTGAACACCAAGCAGGGCTTGTTATCTTGATTAAAAATATAACCAAACAATGCAGGATTTATTATGCAAAACAAAAAAACCCCCCCAAAAAACCCCTGCCCTTGAGCTGCCTAGAACTTTTTGCTGCTGCTGCAAATTTCATCTGAATTAGCATCATATTTATTATTTCAAAAGAACTCCATGTAGAAACAATATGTAGCAAATTATATGATGATTGGTTTTATATGGAAAAGAAGGGCTACATATAATGGTCAGAGAAAGGTATGGATTCGAAATTAGGGAAAACTGGTTGGTTATGTGAGGGAGATGGAGGGGAAGATGGAACTAAAAGATACAATAGAAATTATCCTCCATATGAAAGGCAATAGATAGTAAAATAAATAAAAAAGAAAATGGGTTTCCTTAGAACTAGGAAGACCAGTATCCACTAATTGCAGTGATGCAAAAGTATTTAAACACATACAAGTCCAATGCATACATACAAACACAAATGAGGCCAGTAAAACATAAGATTGTTACATTCACATTCATAGAATCATAGAGTTGGAAGAGACCTCGTGGGTCATCCAGTCCAACCCCCTACCAAGAAGCAGGACAATCCCGTTCAAAGCACACCCAACAGATGGCCATCCAGCCTCTGTTTAAAAGCCTCCATAGAAGGAGCCTCCACCACACTTCAGAGTAGAGAGTTCTGCTGCTGAACATTGAAAAGAAATAGCTTGTTCTTTTCTCAAAAAGTTGAATAGACCTCTCTTCATGTGTATAGTAATAGTTTTTATGTCTCTGCTACAGATGAGTAGACTCCAAATCCTTGCACAGTAAATGTTCTGGTTTCTTTACTAAAAACGAGTAGACTCCATAATTCACTCACAAAAAGCTCAACACTAGCATACTCTGCAAGGTGTCTTACTCGTAACAGAATAAAACGCCTTGCAGGGTATCCTTGCTAGGAAATAGAACTTGCTGATCCACTTTTCAGAAAAGAGCACTGCTAATAGACCACAGGTCTCACGTGATGAGCTTTCTGATAAACCCAACCACCTGATGAAGGCTCTTGTGAGACGAAACCAGTTGTGAGTGAATGTTGGAGTCTGCTCATTTTGAGTAAAGAAACCTGAACACTTACTGTACAAGGATTTGGAGTCTACTCATCTGTAGTAAATAGGACTATAGTATACTATACACATGAAGAGGGGTCTACAGTTCCAGTACCACCCATGATAAGTGAAAATCTGTGAAGTAGGGTCACCATATTAATTTTAATATTTATAAATTATTTTATATCTTTTTTCCTTACCCGCCTCCCAGCCCATCCCAAGGGCACCTGCCTGCCTGCCTGGCCTGCACAGAGTCTCTGGAGCCACACAGGCAGCAATAGGCCAGGGAGGGAGGGTGGCCTTCCCCGCTGTGCCTCAGGCCGCTGCACTTCCGGGGTCTATTTTTTATTAATATATATATTTTAAAATCCCATGAAACAGTGAGCCTGCTAAAAGCGAACTGCAAAGTAGCGAGGGAACACTATATTCATCTTTTTGAGAAAAGAACAAATTATTTCTTTTCAATGTGAATGTAACAATCTCTTGTTTTACCAGCCTCATTTGTGTTTGTATGTATGCCTTGAACTTTTATTTGTTTAAATACTTTTGCATCACTGCAATTAGTGGATACTAGTCTTTCTACTAAAATAAATAGCCACACTTTTCCCAAGGGAGCATAGTGGGAGGGAGGGTTTAAGAATGGGAGATTACTATAGAAGATATCATGGATTATTGCCAATTAATGAGACACTGAATTCTAAATGGGATATTGTGTTTATTTTTTATTTCTTCTTCTTTGGAAAAGCATAAATTAAAAGGTTTTTTTCTCTCGGAAGAAAGGAAATAATGCACAAATATGAAGCACATGAAGTAAAGATGAGGCATTTCATTAAGCGTTAATATCACCCATTTGAACCTCCAAGCAAAGACACCACACACCTCTTGTGGTCAACTTTATCTTTCTTTACTGTTTCTATGTGTGTTGCCACATGAGCAGTGGTAGGGAAAGAGTGAATATGAAATTAAGCAATGCATTTTAAAGGGGTTTTGTGCCATTTTTTAAAAGATTAATATGGTGATATCAAGACAAAATCTTTCCATCCACCCACAGGACAACCCCCCCCCCCCAATCCAACACATTAATGCACATTTTCCTTATCATAACTACTCCCTGATCTCAGCTTTCCCTACCAAAACATGCAGTGAGAAGGAGAGGAGAAACACAATGACATCCTTCAAGTCAGGACTGTTGGAGGAAAGGATCTGCATCTGGACAGAACTTTGAAAATCTCTGCTGACTTGAGATACTTAAATAGTAAGGTGTGGTGTTGCTGTTGTTATATCCCTTCAAGTTAATTTCACCTTATGCCAATCCTAACAGGTTTCTTGGCAAGATTTCTTTGCAGGAGGTTTGCCATTTCTCGATTGAGGATGAGAGACTGTGGCTAGGTCAAGATCATTTAGCTCAGTGGTTCTTAACCTGTGGGTCTCCAGATGTTTTGGCCTTCAACTACCAGAAATCCTAACAACTGGTAAACTGGCTGGAATTTCTGGGAGTTGTAGGCCAAAACACCTGGGGACCCATAGGTTGAGAGCCACTGATGGGTTTCTAAGATGTAAACCCTGGTCTCAGAGTCCTAGTCAAACAGTCAAACTACTATGTCATTAAGGAAAGGACATGAGATGAGAAACAGAATAATTAAGGAAAGGACATGAAGCCAAACAGCTTGCATGTCCAACCAAATCACAGGGCAGAGGAGAGTATAGTGAATCAGAACCTGAAATGAAATCAAACAATCTGCATAAGGTTTTCTACCTCATGGTAATTGGTGATTCATACGATAAACATACCTCCACATTCAAAACAAAGCTATTTGCATTTTTGGGGTTTTTTTTTTGTTTCACATTGAAAGTGTGTCTATGTATGCATGCAGTCATGTATGCTACAAAAGTTCCAGCTTTCGAAATAGCTCTTTTCATTACATATAAGAAAGGGGGAAATGCATATATTAGGAATGGAGAAACACATGTTTCCTATTGATGCCTTTGAGCTGCAACTTCCACTATCGTTCACCATTGGCTGTACTTGCTAAGGTTTTGAGAAAAAACATAAATCCACAGAACAATTCATAGCCTGAGAGTTCAGTCCAATAAAATTTGGAAGGTCACTTGTTTCCCATCTCATTTACATGCCAACTCAGAAATAAGCCCCACCAGATTCAGGAGAATTGCTCCCAAGTAAGTGTAAGAGCCAACATGTTGTTGTGGTTTGATAGTTGGATTACAACTCTGGAAACCAGATCCTGATTCCCTGCTTGGCCATGGAAACCCCTTGGGTGACCTTAGGTGTCACACTTTCAGAACCAGAAAACAATAGGATTGTCTTGGGGTAGCTTTCAGTCAGAAACATGCACCAAAGTGTGATTAAAACTGCAACAGCATTGCATCATCTTTACGTTCTTGAGTTGCTCCTTTGCATCTTACCCGAATGTCAGCTTCTCCCGCACTGTCCAGGTTCTGACACTGTAAATTATAACCTCCTTCCCAAGTGGCAAGAATTAGCTGGAAGACAAAACATATTGTGTTACTTTGAATAGAAACTCCCTGTACAATATTTAATTACTGGCTGTCTCTGGGGTTTTGAAGGAAAATTGGATGATGCTCAACTACTCACATAGCAATAAAACTGATTTCCCATTTTCATAATGCACATTTCTCTCAAAACTGTACTGATTTCACAACATCATCATCAGAAACAGCTGGGTCCCCTGGCCATCTATACTTTTTTTTTTTACATTCTTATGTAAGTGATCAGGCCCATTACAAGCCAGGCTTCCAAACATTGCAACATATTTTAAGTCAAACTATAAAGTGACTATAACTACAAGGTCCCTCATGTAGAATTGAAGGAAAGATATTCCACCCACAGCACAGTTAAACAAGTTTAAATTTCACTTCAGTGATGTGACTCTTAAATTGTTTTGTTCACATTATAAGTGGCCAGCCAGAAGTTTTTGGTTTCCATCTGCAGGATGTGTTATTCACCTAATCATCCCAAAATTGCCTAATAAATACTTGGTAAAAGAATACTAAAGCATAACACCACTGATAAGAAAATGTCAATAATCTACAAAAAGTCTTCAGGTTGCAAGACCTCCAACCTCACGAAAAACAAACACACAAACAAACATTCTGAATGGCTGGAGTTAATATGTGTGAAATATCTACCATTTGTTCAGCTCAGTGCCAATCCAGTTCATACTAATTAGGCATATGTCCTGCCATTCTTGGTAGATATGCTACCAATTACTGAAACAAATGGTAATGATCTAGAAATATTACATACAGCAGTCAACTCACTGCATGCAATGATTTTTCCATGGGTAAATTTGATACAGAAGAATGATCTAGGACAGGAAGGGTCGCTTAGGCCCAGATTGTTTGGGTGTGTTGATGCAAAAAACATTACAGTATACAAGATAAGATGGGTAATCCTCTATAATAACAACAGCAACAACAATTCAAAAAAGGAAGGCATTCCTAGCAATTATAGGCCAATCACTTGCCTACCTACAGGCATATCAGCTGATGTAATACAAAACCACCTGGAAGTGAAGAACTTGCTGCCTCCTGAACAAAAAGGAAACAAACAAAACAGCAAGGGAAAGGAAGACTAACTACTCATAGATAAAATTATCCTTGAAAATTGCAAAAGAAGGGAAACTAACTTGAATGTAGCTTGGATTGATTAAAAGAAAGCATTCGACTTATTGCCACACAGCTGGATGCTATACTGTCTGGAGATGATCAGAGTCAGTGAAACCATCAAGAGACTGGTCAATAATGCAATGCACATTTGGAAAACACAATTACTAGTCAATGGAGAAATAATAGAAGTCAACATCTGAAGGGGAATATTCCAAGGAGATTTCCTGTCCCCTCTACTCTTCATTACTGCAATGATCCTACTCTCTGTAATCCTGAAGAAAATCAGTTAAAGAAACAAACAGCAAGAAATTCCCTGAAAATTTAACACCTTCTATAGATGGATGACCTTAAGCTCTATGGAAAATCAAAAGCAGAAATTGAATCACTGCTGAACACAGCAAGAATCTTCAGCACGAACATTACAATGGATTTTGGACTCGACAAATGTACATCTTTGGAAATAATAAAGAAAAACTAGGAGCATGCGAAGGCATAAATATGCCAAATGTCATAGAAATAAAGAGCTTACCGGTGAATGAAGATTACAAACATATGGGAATACTGCAAACAGACAATATCAAGCATGCAAAAGCGAAAGGCACAATTAATAATAATAATAATAAGAAGAAGAAGAACTTATTTGTACCCCGCTACCATCTCCCCAAGGGACTCGGTGCGGCTTACTTGAGGCCGAGCCCAAATACAACAATACAAACAATAATAACAACAATACAAGCAATTAAAATAAAAAACATAGACACTAAAATATGCAACAATTAACAATAAGACAACACACAATTCAAAACAGTGGGAAGGCCAAATGTAAAGTTAAAATTGGAAATGATGCTGGGACATGGGCGAAAAGGTGAAAGTGGTGTTTGTGGAAGGAATTAGGAAGGAATATTTTGGGAAGGTTAGAAAAAACTTGAAATCAAAGATCAGTGGAGGAAATATAATAAAGGCAAGCAATACGTGGGCTGTGTCTGTAGTACGCTACACTGCAGGCACAATTCACTGGACACAAGCCAAGTTAGACACCCTGGACAGAAAAAAACAAAAATTATGACCATAAATTGAGCACTGCAACCAAGAAGTGACATAGACAGTCTACCAAGCAAGTTTTGAAGGAGGAAGAGCGCTGCTCAAAGTCAATCAATCGGTAGAGGAAGAGAAAAGAAGCCTGAAATAATATATCCAAGAAAGCCAAGAGCCAGCATTGAAAGAAGTTCATAAGGCTGAGATGCTAAAAACCCAAGAATCAAAAGAAGAGTACAGAACCCAACAGTGTACAACACAAAAAGAGTAGTGGCTAAACAAGCTACTCCATGGGCAGTATTTTAAGAACACTGAAGGGTTCTGCTGACTCAAAACGCTGTTTATGCAAAGAGAGTGATGAGATAGTGGAGCACCTTATTTGCGGTTGCAGAAAAATAGCCCAGACTGCCTATATTAAACATCACAACAGGCTAGCAGCAACTGTTTACTGCAAACCTTGCAAGAAGTATGGCCTACCCTGCAGCAAACCTGGTGTGAGCACAAGCTGGAAAAGATCACAGAAAACAAAAAAGCAAAAATATTCTGGGATTTTAGAACCAAACAGATAAACACGTGCCACATAACACACCAAATATAACAGTTGTGGAAAAGAAACATGTTTTATTATAGATGTTGCAGTACCAGGAGACAATAGAGTAGAGGACAAAGAGATGGAAAATATCACAAAATACAAAGACTTGCCAATTGAAATAGGACAACTATGGAAAAAGAGAACAACAGTGGCACTAATAGTGGTTGGTGTTCTTGGAGGCATTCCAAGAAACCTCAAAAAGCACTTGAAAAACCTTAATTTGGACAGAACATCAACCCACATGATGCAGAAGGCAGCACTTCTCAGAACTGCCCACATTCTACAAAAATATCAATTATTCAATGGTTCTCAACCTGTGGGTCCCCAGATGTTTTGGCCTTCAACTCCCAGAAATCTTAACAACTGGTAAACTGGCTGGGATTTCTGGGAGTTGTAGGCCAAAAACACCTGGGGACCCACAGGTTGAGAACCACTAATATCCTAGGTCCTTGGGAAGAGCCCGATATTCAGAGACGAATCCCAGACACTTGGACCTACTATGCATGTGTGTTATGTTGTTATACACATGTAATAAATAATAACATTTTAAAAAAATTCTTGCCCTCCTCTCCTCATGGCTCGAGGTAGGTTACAAGGTGTGTTATTCATGTATGGATCTCACTTAATTCAATGCAACGGACTCCCTACTGGCATGAGATATACCTTAAGTCTTAAGATATAGACAATATGGAGAAAGATCTGGAGATATGACCATGAGTGACTGCTAATGGTCACTTCCATTGGCTTTCTAGCTACTATTCCAAAAGTTCAATTGATGAATTCTGGAGGGCAATGGGCATTGCAGACCTAGCTGAGAACAACATTTCACTCTGCTGCCGCTAGTGCTGCATGTAACGGATACTGCCCATTAGTAATTCCTGATGCTGGCTATTTGCCTGAGCAGCTTTTCAGTTGTTCTCTCCTTGAAATCCCAAGACAAATCTCCTTATTCAGGTGTGGCCTCTGTATAGGCAGAAGGGGAAAAATTCTCAAGTATATCAGAATCTTTTCTCGTAATGATACAAAGTACTATTCACAATGCATCTCACAGTGCTGCTTCCTTTCCTCTTCATCAGCATCACTGACCTATACACAACCCTCTAGTGAATTGCAGTAATGCACAATGCACCCTGAAGCACATCTCCAGATGTGCAATGTGTTCTGCTGTGCATTGAGACTCACTGTAAATTGGGATTATTGAACAGCAGTTATGTTGCTGGCTCTAATCATGCAAAGATCCAGGAGACATAGTTACATCCCTCCTGAGAATATGAGTCTCACCTTGATATGATTATAAAGCTCAGTTTATGATCACATACATTTCTAAGGTGATGGAAATGTAGCTATTTCTTAATCAGAAAAGCTTTGCAGCTTCTGTTTCAGGTTTTAAACAGAACTCGGCCATATTCATTGATGTTGCATCTTTGGAAATAAATGATTAATGAGAAGGTGACCATTAAGCACCAATATAAAACAGTATCTGTTCTAAGGGAGATGCAAAGTTAAGGTGGTGGTGGACAATGCCATGGCAGTTTTCAGGAATTAATGCTAAAGAGAAAGGTTTCCCCTGACATTAAGTCTAGCCATGGCTGACTCTCGACTCTCAGGGTGGTGCTCATCTCCATTTCTCAGCCAAAGAGCCAGCGTTGTCTGTAGAAACCTCCAAGGTCATGTGACCAGCATGACTGCATGGATTGCTGTTATAATGCTACTCTACTAAATTCCAAAAAATGATGAAATTGCTATTATGCTGAGATCTTGTCTCTTTAGTTTTGAAATGTGAGATGCTTGCAGTCATAATTATCCAGAGCATATCTATTTGTGCCCAGATGAATGTGTGAGGAGCAGATGGGAAGAGCAACGTGATGGCTGCATACCAACACATACATTTGCAGGAAACTGAAGGAGGCATAGATGTCTTAGTCATTAGAGCAGCCTACATATCATTTGACATGCTTAGAGGGTAGCGTGAGGTCATGAAGGAAAGCAATGAAGCTGGAAGGGGAGTCTGTCTAGAAAACTAATCGGAGCAACCTTAAAGGGTTGCTCCCACACACACACACACACACACACACGGCTGCAGCCAGGGGTTAGGGGTTCAACCCCCCCCCCCAAAAAAAAAATTCAGGTTAAAAAAACCTGGTTTACTCATGAATTTGAACTGGTTAACTAAATCCCCATGCTAAGCCTATGAGAGGCAAATATTAAATTGATTTAATTAACTCTA